ACAATCTTAAATTAAAATAAATTACATAAAATTACTCATTAATTAAAGAAGAGAGTGACTCTTCGAGTTTCTTTACATTTAATAATGGAATTCTGAAAGACACACATAAACCAACATATTTAAATAATTAAAATTTAGAATTTTAATACTCTAATCAAACACGTGTCACGATTAAATGTAAGCGTAGTTAAAATTAATTACTTAAGCGAGTTAATTAATGAGGACAATGAAATTTATAAAAATGAAATGCTGACATGGAGGAGCGTGTAATATGGTAACCGTTTCACTAGAAATTATAATTAAAATTTTCTTTGAAAAATTTCTGGATAATGGCCAGTACTTAATAGTGATTGATTGCTCTTTAAATCATTCAGTGTTTAAATATTTAAAGCATTCTTCTACTTCTGTATAAAGACTAATTTCTCGTGTTGTGCTTTGTCGTCTTGGCCGGTTTTATTTATTTTAAATTCACTTTTATGCGTGATAAAACGAGTCCAGTGTGCTACGTATGAAATTTTATTAACAATAAATCACTTGTAACAATTACAAATAGTAAAGGTTGATGTTTTGTATTAGTTACATTTATTGTATTGTTGTTGTATCTAGTACAGTACATCGCACTACTTCTATTGGCATACATATTTGATACTGTACTTGTATTGTGCTGCACTACTTGTGTTCGATAGTGCATTGCACCACTTATTCACTGCATTTTAATACTTAATTTTCTTATTTGATCCGTTGTACCACTTTTATTCTACGTCTGATCCATTGTACCATTTACTTGTGACACTTGGATTGTCATTTATTTACTACTAGTAGCCCGGGACGCTCCCTAGTGGGCGTTCTTTACAAATTTCCATGAGGCACGGTTCCTTTGACTTTTTTGTTCCTATCAATATGCTCTATAGTTCCGTTAAAGACCCAATGGTAAGATTTACCCTCCGAATGAAGGGGTGGCAAACCCCCCAGACTGTAGCCCCCTGTGCGAACAATAAATGTCTAATGAACCATACCTCTACGCGCGACCCTTCCCGAGATATCTCGCGAAGAGTCGCGCGTAGGGGTATGGTTCATTAGACATTTATTGTTCGCACAGAGGGAGGGTCGCCACCCCTTCATTCGGAGGGTAAATCTTACCGTCCCAATCGCGTCATACGGATCTATATTTCTACCTATTAAACATTCTATAAACACTTCAAAATAGTTTAATTTGTTTATTTACATTCGCTTGTAAACCTCGATTTTAAATGTATCCGCCATTTTTTTCAACAAATTTCCCGTGAGTCAATGCGCCACAGGATGTTGTAAATATGCGGCGCAAGGTTAATCAAGGCATATAATAAGGCAAGGCAAGGCATATAATAATTATTTATACCGTTCCGTCGTATAAATAATAAATTCATATTATTAATAAATTCCTATTACAAATAAAAATAATTTATTGTTAATTTAAAATTATCGCTAGGGCGCCTCTAGTGCCCGTTTTTGGCATACCGTTACGCGGACGGATACTCGTTCAATGGGTTATATATATAGATGTCTAACAGTATTCTACTTTTTCTCGTGTCTACTGTACTGTACTGCCGATCTATCTACTATAGTGCATTACTATTTTTCGCTGTATTGCTGTTTCCCCGCGTCAACTGCACTTTGTTACTTTTTTCGTCACTACTGTACTATATTACAATAAGATCCTGCTTAACGCCGGATGCGTTCCTAGACGACAAGGCGCTAAACGAAACAGCGTTAAACGAGGTCATTTTAACACAGTAAATAGGGAAAGAGACCTATAATTTTAAGTTATTTTTATATTAATTTTCATAATATGTTAAATAACACAAACATATGCACACAAAAATATAAAGTACTTTTACTAAGGAAATCTGTAGAGAAATTTTTTGGGTTCTTTATTTTCAGAATCACTATTCTCCAGTTCTACAGTTCTTTGAATTCCTTATTCTGCCTGTTCTTGAAGGTCGTCGTTGGTAAGGCTCTCACAATAAACCTGCAGTAACTCCTCAATATCCTGCTCGTCTACATCTCCTAGTCCTGCTGTATCGATTAGGCTCTTCTCGTTGAGAATTCTTGGATACCTTCAGCCATAACTTCTTCCACACTTCGTTCATGCATTCATCAGTTAATTCTTGCCAAGCCAAGTCGACATTGCCTATGGCATCCGTGATGTTATATTTTTTCCAAAGCTGCACCAAACAAACACAGATTTAAGGAAAGTGCAACGCTACGACGAATTGCCGTCTTTTGCTAATTGGTTTGTGTTCTGGAATAATCGTAATCAATGAAATGCCGCGATAATTTGAATTAGTGTAAATTTTGAGCTTTTTTAGACTTCGAGCAGACCGCGTTATATCGAATCGGCGTTAAGCGGGGTCTTACTGTACTTGTAATACACAGTATCACATACTCATTACGTGTGATACATTGTATCACTCGCTACGGTTACTATATTATATCACTTATCAACTACTAAGTACGTTCTGTACAGTAATGCATCGTGTAAATTCAGCCGTACTTTGCACGCCGTGCAATATACTAAATATATACTATATAAACCTACTTACTAGAGCACAAATTAAATCCCGATCAATCACTTAGAACGTAGAAATTACTATTATCCATCTATAATTAAATCTTAAATGCCTTTTAGATTTAATTATAGATTGAAAATATAGTAATTACTTTATCTAAACATTAAATACAATTATTTTGATGTCAAGATTTCGAAGATTCATCGGTTTTTATCTTCTCGTTCGCTCAAGAACTTTTTTTTATAATTTTTAATTATTTTCAAATTACTGCAATAGAAAAACAAGAGGTTTTTTTTTATTTTTATTATTTTATTCATTTCGTTGTCTTATTTTTTAATATTATTTAATTTAATTTTGTTGTTTACTAATACAAATCCTTGATTCTGTCGGAGGAAATGAAAAAAAAAATCTAACAAAGAGTTGCGTAACTTTCCCGGCAAAAAACATTTGTAATTGCGTTTGGCGTCATCTATTACGATATTTTATTAAAACAACTTTTTATACTATTCATTATTATAAAATGGTAAAATGTTTAATTTCGATAGTAGAGACGAGTTTTATATATATAAAAAAATAAATTGTGAATGCTAAGAATGAATAAATTCTTCGTTAAGTCCAATCCCGCTCGAGATACGACACGTGTGACCCTCTAGACCTTTAACCACCAAAAGGTCGAGAGGGTCACACGTCAATCAATGACCCTAATACACAAATCTTTCCACAAAATTTCAGAAATTTTCAGCAAAAAAGTACAGAAGTTATTAAGCTTAAAAGTGGGTGAACAAAATCGTGTCTCCCACACACTACTTCTCTCTTTCTCTCTATTTACTCTATTGACTCTCTTTCTCTACACACACACACTATTTACTCAGTCTCTCACTGACTATTCACTCACTCACTCTAACATACTAACATCCATACGTATAGAAATTACCCTCGATTTTTTTTGCGTTTCTCGACGTTTCGAGGTGTCCCAAGACCAAACTGTAAAAATCTTGGGGGAGATCATTTTTGACCGATCGCCATGCTTTCCCTTTGTTATGTATAACGGCTGGGAAAATAAAAAAGTAATTTTTATAAAGAATTTATTTCTATTTAAACTGGAAAGAAATAAATTTTTATTCTTAATTAAATTTTTTAACGTTTAATTTTAGACTTTTCCGTGTATAAAACTCGATTATCTTCATTTAAAATTCCACATTTTTGAAATGTTGTTTACGCATTAATATTGTTTAATATTCTATAATTAAAACCCGTACTCGGAAGAGATTTGACTATTTTTATATAATTTTTACGTCTTTTTAATTCGATTCTACTTTTTTTTTTCTTTTGTAAATTATAATTAAAGCGAACGTAATTAAGATTTTATTTTTCAAATATTTATTTTTAAAACAGAATTTTATTGTAATTTCTTTTATAAATGTAATTTTCTCCCCCCCACAAATTAATTTCGATAAAATGCCGTGAGATGCTGAATATTTTCTTGTGAAATGTAAAAAAATTTAATCGTCCCATACGCTCTAAACCAATCGGATGATAAAATTTATTTCATGATGATTGGTTTTAATGATGATTAATTAGGAACTGGAACTTGACGGCTGCTCCCTTCGGTGTGGGGTATACGTTGGGGCGGATTATACGAAGATTTTAGCAGTTTTATGTGGGGTATACCTCGCTATGGGTCACGAAAACGTGGGAAATTTAGTTTGAGTAATACGTTTGGATTTTATTGTAAAAATTAATGAAAAACTTGCGTAAAATTGTGTGTTAAACAATATCCAAAATGGCGTCATGAATTGCTTTTTCTCAATTTTTGTATAATAATAATAATCATGTTTGATGTATTAAGCTAGTCAATAAACAGTTTAATCGTGTTTAAAATTAATTACCGTTAATATTTATGAATAACTTAAATTCAGTTATTGCGGAAAACGTTACAGTGAAAATGATTTCTACGTAACGGCTTACAGTTCATGAAATGGATCATAAAAACGAAAATTTATTGCGTTTGCTTTCATTTTTTTAATCGTTTATTTCATTTATAATGCATGGCCGTTTATGGGAGGGAAGGCAGACGTTTCAGGGGTGTCTATGGCATCGGAGAATGCATGATGAATGTCCGTAGTGTAGAGGATGCTGAAGAAACAACGAAAAATACTAATACAAGATGGTGGAATTTCTGGTTATGTTTTGTTGCATTTGTTTGCTCAACCCATGAAAATTAGTGTTCGTGACTTAATTTTGTTAAAATGATTGTGACGTAACATTTTTCAAACTCATTTCTCGAACAGAGATGAGGTCAGGAACGTAATTTCTAAGGATGGCGGCCATTTTTATATACTGTATTGTATATGATTAACAATATTGCGTATTGTTAAGCGTGTCGAATTCGTGTAAACGTAGGCAAAAATGACTAAGATAACGTTTGTTTTTTTTTGCATTTATTTGAAGGTGCTGTCCCTCGGAGCGGATGTCCTGCCCGAATACAAACTACAAAAACCTAGGATCCACAAGTGGACTATACTTCATTATTCACCATTTAAGGCCGTGTGGGATTGGATTATATTATTATTAGTTATATACACGGCCATTTTCACGCCTTACGTTGCGGCATTTTTATTAAATGAAGAAAAATCCGAAAATAAAAAATCGAAAAAGCATGGTGAAGATCCCATTATGATAATAGATCTTATAGTGGATGTGATGTTTATTATTGATATTTTAATTAATTTTCGTACAACTTATATCAACTCCAATGACGAAGTTGTTAGTCATCCTGGTAAAATAGCTGTACATTATTTGAAGGGTTGGTTTTTGATTGACGTTGTGGCTGCTATCCCTTTCGATCTCTTACTAGTTGGTTCCGAAACGGACGAGGTAAGTACATTTTACTAAATATATAATATTTTAAAAGTAATTTTGGTCAAGCCACGCGTTTATTTCATGTTTCCTCACTATAAATAAATTGTAAAAAAAGGAACTGAGCTCGTTTTCTCGTTTCATCACTCGTTGGAATGTGTTTTAAAGGCGTGCCGTGCCTTTAAGGGCAGAAAAATGCTCATTAAGAAGAGATGCCCGATATTTTTATCGATTTTTACACACGCAATACTCATCTAAGAAGTCGTGTTTCGCTTAGTTTAGCCCATTACGGGTATGGCAAAATTCAACAGGCAAAATCGATACAGAGATGAGAACGTCTCGACTATCTAGTCCATATTCCATAACTTAATCTAAATATTATCGGCCCATGATATGGCCCATATACATGTACAGTAATTGGCCGTAGTATGGGTTACGACATTGCTCTCCATCCCTCCGCATGCATATTCGCCCCATTGAGGATCTGGTCTGCCATATGTAACTTATGTATTGATGCTCACGTCAATCAACATCGTGATGCGGATCCGAACCACTAACGGTAGAATACGAACCTACAACCCAACATTTTGGTCACGTGTAAAATATTTTGTAGCTGCCCGAATATTGGGCATCTTTTCACAATTGTCATCTCTGGAGCAATTCCATGTTTAACAATTAAAATTACGAATGATGAAACGAGTTAAGAATGAGCAATAAAGAACTAATTAATTTTATATTGTTATTATATGTACATTTTTCCTGTAATCCTATATCCTGATAACGTTTGTATCCTTTGTATACGTTGTAACTAATGTTTCTGTATACAAACCTACACCCCAACCTTATACGTCCACTTATGTATTATTAACAGATCAATGTTAAAATATAACTGAAAAGATCTTTTATCTGTTTATTAATGTACAGTAATTGTGTGCTAGAAAATGAATAATGGAGTATAAGCATGCGTAAATCATGTACATAGAGTATTTGCATGATAAGAAAATACTAAAAATTTTTTGTAATTGCTAGCATGAAACTTTGTTTTACCGTCGTTACTATAGAAAACTTGTATACATATGTACTGTATTAAATCATAGATGTACGGTATATTCTTATATGTTAAATATGATGTAAATCTACTAGACCCAATTGTTTTTCTGTGTGATTGTTGTTGTATTATCGTACAGAATGTATTATTGTAGTCTGTAGTCGTGTGTCTATATATGTCGACTCTTCCCAGATGTGAAATGTACAATTCGGCCATTATTGAGGAAATATGTATGTAAATATTTTAAAATGTATTATGCATTAATGGATATTTTACTGACGTCATACATGGAATTGGCCTTTGGCATGCCTAACTTAATGGTCAACCAGGGCAGAGGTAGACACGATGAGTGACAGCATTGTTGCCTCTTTACTTTGAGTGTGGACAAGTGCTCTGCCACCTCTCATATCAAATCATGTTTAGGTCATCAATACCCATTATTTAAATCACGATTTTTTCCTTTGTTTCCTTAATTATCGTCATTAGTTCCTCTTTATTTTTTCCGATTTTAATTAATTTTAGTGTTATTCATGTTCACCACACAAGTATACAGCGATGCATCTATCATAACATCAACTCATAACGAGGGAACAATCACTCTTCTGTGCCCCAGATAACACTAGACGGGACGAAAGGGTGGTTAAATTTATAAACAAACTCGGGCCGATGTATTTTTTCTGAATTTAGTGTTATATGCGGGCCTTAAGGTGAGTGTTTCGCCGACAGGTGGCCTATATATAGTAGGAAAAAGGCGCATATATTTTAAGTTTGCTTGGCTGGATACTCAATTTATAATTTCTTTTAATGCTTTAAAATGTTATGTGTATGTAATCATATATGGCTTCAAGCACTATAAAGCGTTCACCATCACTTCCATTTTTATATAGCTTATAATTATTATATAATTAAGGCAATAAGCTTAAGCTTTGTTTGATTCCTCCTTTGTTTTTTTTTCTGTTTATATATATGTATATATGTATATAAACCGCACTCGCTTTAACACATCCATAAATTAGCACATGGTATAAAGAAAATCATTGCCCTAAGTTTTTTGTTTGAATACTTTTTGCCTAGACCACTACCTTGATTGGGCTGTTGAAAACAGCAAGGCTTCTAAGGCTGGTACGGGTGGCACGTAAAATAGACCGCTACTCAGAGTATGGAGCTGCTGTGTTGCTACTTCTCATGGCTACTTTTGCACTAGTTGCTCATTGGTTAGCATGCATATGGTATGCCATTGCCAATGCCGAGAGGCCAAGTTTAAATCCAAAGATAGGATGGCTGGACCAGTTGGCTAAAGACACGCATCAATTCTACAACTACTCGCAAGGCGGTCCCAGCATAAAAGCCAAGTACGTGACTGCACTCTACTTCACCTTCTCGAGTTTAACCAGCGTAGGGTTTGGCAACGTGGCTCCAAATACGAATATGGAGAAGGTGTTTTCCATTTTGGTCATGTTAGTTGGATGTAAGTAATTCTCACTTTATCTTTACTTCTCTCTCTCTCTCTCTCACCTGTGTTATGTCAAATGACCTGTGTGATCGACAGTATTGTTCCTCCAGTTTATAACAATTATTACTTCACTCCCGTCGAGTGTAGTAAAAGTACACGTCACAAAATTACACACCGAACAATCATTTTATCCCTCTTATTCGTTCGTACAAAGTAAAAGATGCAATTTCGTACAAATCAACTTTAAAATTTCCTATATTTATTATCTTTGTGAGCCTGTTTTATTACTCGCCGTATCATCAATAATTTTTAAGTACACGAAATTTTATGCGATATCGATCAAATAATTTGGCGCAACCGTCATAAATAACCACAAGCCGCACAGCCAGAAGCAGAGCACTTACTTAAAACTTCATTATTCTTGAAGCAGACTCTAATTATTCATACGAGACATCCCACTGTTTAAACTTAAATAATTGAGAAATGGAAAAATGCCACTTTCTCAACGTATTTACTTTTTTTCTCAAAGCTCATTTTTGCGTTTTTAACAAATTTTATTTTGAAAATTTCGCATGTATTAAATTGTATTAAAGGGGTACTAACATTTAATTGTGTCGGGTATCGATCATTTCTCGCTCAGTACGAAAAAGGCATTTCTAGAAGGGCATTTCTACAAGAGAATTTCTGCAGGGGCATTTCTAAAAACTGAACATCGAAAGGTACACATTAAAACCTTAAAAAGCAGCTATAAGTAACTTAAATTAGAGTATAACCCATTACACATTTTTACAGGCATACTTAATGATCTTATTTTACAACTCTTGCAGAAAAGGAGAGGATACCAAAGCTAGTAAAGCGTAACAACCATCATTGTTTGGAAGATTCATAGCAGCATGAGTCGATTAATGTCTAGTAGACAGTCTAGCAGACGTGGCTGGATGGCTCAATGACACGGCAATGTCGTCAAATGTCTTCCATAATAGATTTTGTAAACTGGAACAAACCCAAAAAAACCGATCGAAACGTCATCTAACTAAATCGAAAGCACTGTCAAGTCAATAAGAATCCTCATCAAATTTTGCCCTTTGTATATTCATAAATCTGTTTCTCGTGCGGTCGGTAGATAAGTTGGAGTTATGGGCGTAACTGTAATTCATGAAAGTGTAATGTACAATAAAAATTATTGTCTCGAAATATATTATCCTCCCCTAAACCGTAAAAAAAACTCGACTTGATGTATCGGTAACATTTATTTTACTGGATTAGGGGATGATGGATGAGATTATTCTTAAATTCTGATGCATTTATTTGAGATGTCCTTTGTCATCGAGATGCCTCGACCCTATGTAAACACAAAGAATTTGATTCTGAAGTCTTCGTGATTTTAAGAAAGATTGTTCAGTGTGGCTGTAAATTTAACTGTTAAATGTTAGCTCTGGACTTAAACATCATGTTATAACGGGATCTTCCCTCCACCAAATATTGTAACTTTGTGAAAATGTGAGGCTCTAAGCTATTGATTCGTAACACTAGATCTTCCCCTCTAACAAATAATTTAACAGTGTAAAAATGACGAGTTCGAATCTACAGACCCTGATGACCGACGTCACGCTAAGAGCAATCTAAAAATGTGTGTAATAAAACACACGAAATTTAAAAGTACAACAGGAACGATGACAAATGTATTGTTAAACATTTACACTAGCCAGAAAGGCGAATAATTGTTATAAACGGTGAGCAGTACCAAACCGTATGGTAGCTGACTTATATCCATAGCTTCTTTTAGATGTTCTCGAGCGAGAATGTTTGTTTCTTTTAATTGTGTTCTTGCTCTAACTCCTCTTTTGTTGATTTTATTCTTCGATCTCTTTGTAGCGTCAGCAATATCTTAAATAATTTCTTTTTTACTAGCTCTGATGTATGCCAGTATCTTTGGTAACGTTTCCGCAATCATTCAAAGGTTGTACTCAGGAACAGCACGGTACCACACTCAGTTGTTGAGGGTAAAAGAGTTCATCAGATTTCATCAAATTCCTAATCCTCTTCGTCAGAGATTGGAAGAATATTTTCAGCATGCCTGGACATATACTAATGGGATCGATATGAATATGGTAAGCTGTATTTTTTTCATGTCATTTCCGACCAAACACTTTGCACCACTTACACGCAGCCAGCCTGTTGTCCTGGTGCAACAGGCTGGCTGCGTGGAGTTTTCCGGAGTTTTTTCACGTGTATTAGTATTAAATATGGATTTTTTTCACGTGTCTAACACCCAAATAGGGGGATTTTCTCTTGTTTAACACCTAAATAGGGGCCCATTCCCCCAGTCTTTCTGAGGAGCATACCGCTTGGTAGATTGCCCTTTATTTCTAGGATGATAAGATAAATATATAGATGATCATTTATCAATGATTCACGACAATGAGGATACTCAAAGGTTTGACCATCAAGACGTTCAGGTATCCAGATTAATTCTGGAATTCTTGCTGGCCAAGCCAATATTTTGCTGAACACGCCAGAGATGTTGTAAAGAGGTTGCAGCTCATCCTCAAAATTCTTGTATTAGAAAAATGACGATAAATTATAGTAAAAAATACTACATCTACTAAAAAGAAAACAAGAAAATCCGGTGAAAAAAATAATTTTTTATGATAGAGTAGAGAATCGAGGTGATTGATCTTTCGCCATGTCTCAGCTCATAAATTTGGTTCCTTCTCGTTTATAAATCTTACAGGACAATATTTGTAAATTTCCACTTACCAGAAATGTAACTTTTATACAGAATTAAATTTACATAAGAGTGTGGATGATCAAAGACATTGGAAAGATCACTTGCAATATGTTATGCAAACGCATATTTCATGTGAAGCAATACTTTGTTTCAAAGAAAATGAAGGATTAGACAGGAAATTCGGTTTAAAATAAGAAATGAATATGAAGAATCGTTTTGTATCCGATACAAAAATATTTTAAAATAAAATATCCGATAGCCTGTTCGCATTAGAAAATAACAAAGGTCAAGAAAAACTTCGATTTGACCTTAAGTAGGATTTAACCTCTAAGCTGACAGTCCACTAAAATGAAATATTTCTGTATTCATTCAAATAAAATATAAAACTGTGGCACACATACGAAATATTAATATTTATATTACAAATGTATTTCATTTACAGTGGATTACCTAGTCCATGGTTATATGATAATTTTCTGATATTCTGAAAAAAAAAAATCACCAGTATACAGAAGGGGCTTCGCCACACATTTTCCTTCTGGCACACACATTTTTTATTACCTTACAATAAAGATAACCCCAATTACTAGACGGTATACTTCACCTTTCCCTCCTCCTCCTCGCTACCAGTGGCCAAAGTGGATGCAGTAGTCATGGCTTCAATGAGCTGCCACGTGGAGTTTCCTGGATTTTTTTTACGTTTGTAACGTCTAAATAGAGGCAAGTTTCTCTTAGAAAGTCCTCACCGGAGGCATTCCCCTATGTGTTAGGTTGCCGTAAACAAATAAACTAAACCTCTTAATCATCATCGATTCTTTAAACCCACCTCCTCTTTTCTAT